CCAAAGCTGTTTCATAATTTTCATAATGAAAAATGCGCGTACTGGATGTATCACTAGAGGGTTGGATGTAGGTCGATTGTTCCAACCCGTTAGCGCTTTGGGAAAATACCAATTTCTGAAAAACACGAATTCTGCCGATTCACACTTGACCCCTGATCGTGCACCGCGAGATTAAATCGATTGTTTTGCGAATTGCTGTAAAGGTCAAATGAACCTATTACAAGTTACAAGGCTTGGATAATGACAAAAGATTACCCGTCCGCAAAATTACACGCGGGAATTCGCTAAGATGTGTAATCATGCTGGCCAGCCTATTCTTTTACCGTGGAACCCAATCCAAGGTGGAATTGTCTTCATTCACAGCTCAGCAGTGTTGGGAGAACGTGTATTTTGTACCGGGTGCTAGCGCTATAAGCTTCAGCACAAGGTACTATTTGAATACGGCTTGTGCAAGGCTTCACCAATGCTGTGTGTTGTGCAGGCAGCCTTCATCGTATACGCCTCCACTTCGTGATCCTACACAGTTTCCAACATTTGGTGAATCCATCTCTCAATTGGACTCGCCTCATAATGTTCCAACACCGCCATTTCCTTTCCAGTCAGGTCGTCCCAACATTTTTGGTAGTCCATCAAGGTAAGCGCTATTGTTGGGTTTGTTTTGCATTTGTTGTTTATCATCAAAAGATTTCATCACTCGGTGTCGTGCTCAATGAAATGATGACAGTGCATGTCAGCGAACTGCCATTCCGTTCCCTTTACGCAAGCATTCGCGCTTTGCTGTGATTGCACGGGTTATTCTCTTTACCTTTCTTGAATATACCACCAGTGGTCAATAGTGAATAATGTACATTCTTTCACAACTCTGCCCATTCAGCAAAAAGATGGCTGGTAGTACACTTCTCTTCAACTCGAAATACCTCAAGCCTACAAAAATATTATGTCGAAACATCTTCAACATCACCATCAAATTTTTCCACTTAAAGGCAGTTGGGACGATGATTTGGTGTTCGGCCTAAAATGCTAGTAGGGCGCTATATAGGGGGGGGGGGGAAATGGCGAAAGAACGGAGTGAAACGGTCAAAATCCTGCGAAGAAAGAGCCTCCGTTCTCAATGTGTTAGAAATCAATTTTGGACGAGTTTCCTGTAGGCATCTTGCCAATAACCGCTACCGAAGGTACGGCTGCATATGTGTACTCATGCAGCATCACGGCCGCTTCATACCAATCCCTTCGCTTCATAATTTGCTTAGCAAATGAATCGATTAAGCGTCAGGTGCAGTCGTCCATGTGAGGGTGGGCGGGTGTTTGGGTCGGAACGTTGTGGCTTGATAGGGCCCTTACAAGGGCACCTCCCTTGGAAAAGGCATTATGCAGCGCCTGCAGGGTTGCGGATTTCCATCCTGCCAGGCGTATTCATCCTACTCGATCGTGCCGACTGCCTTTAAAGGCCACGACATTACATAATGAATTATCACTGATCATTTGTTCGCTTTTGAGCAATGTACATCACAATTAGAATACCAGGCCTAACAAATTGAAGCGGGTGAACTTGCCTAGCAATACGAATTAGGGGACGGTTTAGTTAAGTTTTGTTTGCTACTGGTAGTCATATGGAATAGCGGATTATTTCACTTCTAGGTGGAGCAGATGATAGCGCTTCTTTCACGTGCATGAGGTTCTTGGTCGGGTAAGGACCATGTCATCGCAAATGTAGGGGTGGTTTCATGGGTGCTTGAGACTAGGGTTTTATTCTGTCCCTGTTGTAATGGTGGTTCAGTGGTTAAACGAGAGCAAGAGATAGATAGAAGGAGCACAACGTTTTATTACTCACCAACGTACTAGAGCCCGAACAAAGCAGAAGTGCCTGGGCTCAAAGTTAGGTGGATTGGGCGCTCGGCGGCGTAGTGTACAACTCTTCAAATCAAAACACTTTGGGCTCAGAAGAGGACGATTAAGTTGGAACGTCAAGCCGATAAATAAGTGACTCGCGTGGAAATTTTCAAAAGACGCATCATTGCATACTGAAGAAACAAAAAAAACTAATATG